AGGATAAACAAGCTCGCGACACTCAAAAAGCCAGCCAATTGCCTAACAAAGGCAAGCGCAAAGCTTCAAAAGCACCTCAGGCACCTGCAGCCAAAAAGCGTCGTTCTGCGCAGCCTCGAAGTGGTGCTGTTGCTGCAGCGGCTGCTCCGCCTCGCGGCACTCACACAACCCGCAGCGGCCGCACCGCAACATTATATAAATAGTGCTTTCGGCAAATGAATTGCATACATCAATCGACTATAATACTAACAAACCTCGTGATAATTACTATCGTGGCTGTTTCTACAGCCTCATTTTGCTATGGTGCGTGAGGTGGGTGCTGCGTGCGGAACGCGGAACCGTGCGGCACGAGCTCCGGCACGGTAAGCTAGTGCGAAACTTGACAAATCACTAGGATTTCTCTCCCGAGTTGCTTTTTAAAGACTAGCGCACAATGCCACAAACAGCGAGCATATCTCTTACAGATTGCTCTGAGCAGGGTATGGGCCGCAAACTGCTAGTCAATCACCCGTCTTTAACTGCGTGTGTGGCGCTGCAGATCGCCCTGATGGAACTATTGCGGACCCATTGAAAGCATTTGGCATTGCGTCCGACCGCTGTTATGAGCTCAGAGCCAGTGAGCCACTCATCCAGTAAAGCGGCTGCATTCACCGTGAGCACTACTCCTCAGGCCACGATGACGGCATACTACCGCACTCCACTCGACGCCGATAAAATACTGCGCGTATCTGATGTATTTCAGAGTGCAATGGCTGCAGTTAAATTACTTGTCAGATAGAGCGAGCTGTGCGGTAAGGCCGGATCTGTACAATCGTCGATCGAGGAGGGACCAATGGCGCCCAATTATGAGTTGCTACTCTTACCGTAGGTAGTAGTTAAGCTAAGCAAGACCGAGTAGTTTCTAAGCTGTTTGGCATTTGCATATGCCGGAAGAAGTATTGCCGACTCTCACGTGCAGCAACAGGATGTTGGGCCACAGCCTAATCACTGAGCATGTGGAGGCTGTTCCCCGCGTCAATGTGTGTGGGGATCGTGCTCCGGGACAATGTTTGCGTTCGGAAGGTGGAAGGTTGTTGCGGTATCAAGGGCAAATGTAAAACGAGTGTATTCTGTTGTTGTGTGTTCTTGTTCTGCCTGTGTCTTGCCTCTCCAAGGCTCGCTGCGGGTTCTGTTTTGATGACGTGTTTGTGATGCTGCTGAGGTAAGTGGTGCTCAATAACACGAGGAAGTAGCACCAGACCACCGTCAACAACACGTGACCCGCTTCTCCACTTAATAGCCACAAAGGTACCGTGTCCGTGCGTGTACCGGTACCGTGTCCGTGCACCAAATGCGCGGATTCACTAAATGCGCGGATTCATTAAATGCGCGGAATCCCTCTACCCAACGTCAAATAATATGAAGCCACTAAACCACATAATGTACCTCACGGGCGAGTGGCCGGCCCGGGCGAGTGACCGGATTTTGCCAAGACCACACTAAACTTTATACAACCTGTAATGTCTTAATATAAAAAGGCTTAAAGTGTCTTAAAGGAACTAGATATATAGCTTGCTATTTAGGCTCTTAAACAAGACACAACTCTTAATATTCTACACGCTGTAATAATCTATAAGGTGTTAGAAAGAACACTAAGACAATAACATGCTAGAATGCTCTTAAGATGTAATTGTAAGGTTAACTTAATAAAGCTAACAAGCACTAAAGAGGAGGTAATTGTGCAGCATATTCTAAAGCTAGACAAGTAAGGATACCCATCCTAGCTTACTAATGTAGAGGATATGGCCAACTCTCTACTCACTAAGCGCCACCAGCCTCCTGTTAGCAAGAGCTAATAGTGACTAGGTAAAGGAGTTATGTATAAGCATTAACTAAGATCTAAACTTGTGTGTATTGCTTAGAGTCCTTAACTGCCATAGTGTCTCTAGTAGAGGGGGTGCTAGTAGGGTACAGTGATGCACCTTAAGGTGATCTAACACTACCTGCGCGTTAGTAGGGTTGGTTGGTTGGTTGGTGTTCATTTTACGTCTAGTTGATGAGGGTGAAGTCCATCATCTCGCCTCCCGAAGGGCATATACGACGTGCTAAGCTATGGAATTACAGTGCTGCCACTACCTTGGAAAGCATTTCTTGCCTGCGCGGATATTACTACTATTTTAGAACTACAGCTCCCTGTCTAGTTAAGGAGACTAAGCTGTGTGTGTACATTAGGGTGGATCCCTTGTGTGTGTTTAGAGGCAGTTAAGTGCTAGAGAAGTAGGAGAGAGGAAGAGTAGGAAGGAGAGTAAGGAAAGAGTATAGTTGTTTGCTGCTATTACAGCACAGGGTAAGCTACTAGGGGCAGACCTTAGTGTAGTACTGTGTAAGTTAAACAAAGGCTTTAAAAGCCTCTAGATCCCTAATTAGCGCAGCAGTATACGCTAGGCCATTGTTCTAGCTACATAGTGGTATAGGTAGTTAGGGTGGCCATTGGCTAAAGGCTCCTAGGGTCTTGTAGCAGAGCGCAAGGTGCTCTGGCGTCTTGTTGCGTCTGCATAAATAGGTGCGTGTTGCATTATTGTGGCTAAACTTTTAGTAGTACTATGCAAAGTTGCTGTAAATAGATTAAATTAAGAGTAGTCTAGCTAGGGTGGCTCTTAGTAGGTCTAATTCACGTAGTCTACTGTAAAGTAAGTAGCCTAGCTCCTATCTTCTATACTATGTAGAGAGGCTTTCTTTCTTCTTAGACTACTAGGTCTGCTGTGTGTTGTGCAATGTTTTGCAAGCAATAGATTTAATGCCTGCTAGTGTAGGAACAGCAGCCTTTCTAGTAGGGAGTGATAGGTAGTAGGCTTTAAGGTTTGCTAGCCTATTAGCTGCTTCGTTTCCTTTAATGCCTAGATGTCCAGGGGCCCATTTAACAGAGACGTCGTGTGTCTCCATGGCACTATGGCACTCCAGGAAGGCCTATTGAGAGGTAGGGGATGCGCTGCCCTTTAGGCACCATATAACTAAGGTGCTGTCTATGCACAGCTAGATTTGGCAAGTGTTGAGGGCTAGTTGTCTTATAGTATGCTGGAAGCCCCTCTATGCTCCTACTGCTTCTGCGTTAAAGACGTGTGAGGTAGGGTGGAGTAATCTGTGTCTAGTCTGCAGTTATTTTCTGCCCTAATATACTGCAAAGCTGTAGGTAACCTACTTTTCTCCTTCCTTTGTGTACTATTTAGAGCTATCTAAGAAGATAGTAACGTCTAATAGTAGGAGCTAAGCCTACTATTCTTTAAATACCTTAGCT